CAACGTGTCTAGATGGGTGTAGACGCGATTGAGCAGATAGATGATGACATCCTCAGCTCCGAGAAGGGGCTGGTAAGCAAACTGAAGAGGATCTCTGACGTGGTCTGAGTATGGGTCGGAGCTGGTCCAGGATGAGTCTTTCCAGGGTCTTCATGACGTGGGATGTCAGGCCTGTAGTCCTGGGGTTCTCTTCTTGTCTCTGTCTTAGAGATAGGCTCAGAGTAGAGCTGCTACCCCTCCACATTGAAATTAAAGGTTTCCTCTTTGATAAAGCATGCAGTTGGGGCTGGATCAAATGAACCTAAATCCTCCCTTGGTTACCCTGCAGTAGGTTTCGGCTTCCCGTGATGCACTGAGTGTTGACTGTGCACTGACTATATGTTTATACATCACTCTGCATATGAGTTATTATTCATCTCTGGTAGGGCTGGGTATCGTCACTGATCTAGAATCGATTCGATTCCGATTCACAAGGTCCTGAATCGATTTGATCTTCGATTCGATTCGATTTGAATCTGGGAAATTTTGCCTCAAAGTCAGAAATAATATAATTCAGATCAGCACATTTACATATTTTTGTATCTATAAGAAGGAAGCTGACACTTTCCAGACTTTATCAAAGGTGTGAGCATCACAGCGAGGCCTTTGTGTCAAAGTAGCTGAAGATAGAACACAGAAACACATGATTTTCCTGGCCTGGGATTTTATAAAAATATTCTGCAGTACATCAAAAATGAAAGAAAACCATTAATCAGCATATGAACGTTACCTCTGAAGTTACAGCGGTTTTATTAGAGACACGGCTAACAGGAATTTTGTATAATTTTAAAAAGTTTACATTTGTTCAGAAGCCTGTTGAACAGCAGAAATTAGGTTTTCTTTTCAGAAGTAAGTAAAAACAACATCGGCCGACAGCCTGTAAACAACGGTAGACTTGTGCGTAACAAGCAAGCGAATAATGCAGAAAACAGATTTTTAGACGGGAAACTGTTCTTGAAGTACAGAGAGAGAGAGAGAGCTGTGCATGAAGTGTGATTTTATCCTGGTGGAAGCAAAACAGTAAAAGTCAGAGTAAATTCACGACGATGTTTATGTGAAGCGTAGTTTGGATCTGCTTTTGCTGCTGGTTCGGTCAATATTGTTTGGAGAGACATCAAACTAACAGCTTCAGAATCGGCGCAAAAAGGGCGTGAACACAAAGCTCGACCCGCCGAAACATCAGAATCAGCGAGCTGTCGGCTTTCAGCCCCGACTGTGTCCGTGCCGTCGGTGAGAAAGGCGACATCTCACTGATTCTGCTCCGCGCTGTGTGTTTACGTCTTTGTGCAGAAGCCGTGTTCCTGCTCTCATTCACTGTCTTAGCTGTTTGGTGGTTGTCAAAATTTTGTGACGTTTCACCTGAGATTCTGGAATTTTGGGCAATATACATTTATATTAAAAAAATGATTCAGGATTTTAATGAATCGATATCACGTTATCCAAGCCAGAATCGATTTTAATCGATGCATCGATGGATAAAACCCACCCCTAATCTCTGGCTCTTCTTCCAAAGCGTTTCTTTTTTCTGTCTTCCTCCCCAGCCCTCCCTGAGTGGGATTCTGCTGGAGTCATCTTCCTGCTAAAAGGGAGTTTTTCATTCCCAGTCTCCTCACAGTGCTTGCTGTTTTCTTTGCATTATTGTAGGGTCTTTACCTTGCAATATAAAGTACCTTGAGACAACTGCTGTGAATTGTGGCTATATAAATAAAATTGAATTGAAATGATGTGGGAGCTCAGATGTCTTGATGGAAAGTGTTCATTTAGGTACCTGCTTTTTAATATGCAGTATCCTCCCCCTCTTTATGTGTGTTGGTGCATAGGAGCGAGCAGAGCAGCTGGTGGTCAAAGTGTTGAGCAGCTTCAAGAGCAGTGACATAGAGAAGGCTGTGGGCTCTCTGGACAAAGCAGGAGTGGATCTGCTCATGAAATACATCTACAGAGGCTTTGAGAAGCCCTCTGACAACAGTAGTGCTGTACTCCTGCAGTGGCATGAAAAGGTCAGTGCTTTCTGTTAATTAAGCTAATACAATCTTAGAGTGGAAATTGTGCTGAAATCGAAACCAGTTTCCATTAAGTGGTTAGTGCCACGTTCACAAAGCCAGAGCTTTGATCACAATCACAGACGATTCCCTCAAATCATAATGCAGAGAAAAGTTTATGGACGTTTCTTTTCTGTGCGTCCTCAGGCCCTGGCAGTGGGAGGAGTTGGCTCTATCGTGAGAGTCCTGACTGCGAGGAAGACGGTCTGATGGTCGCCGAACCTGCAGCGTCCAGTCACACGCCACAGCTGATTGTGTTTCTGAGCTTCTGTCTTTATATAGGACTTTTTTTCCAACTGCTCTTCTTTCTACTTTTTTTTCTACTTTCTGGATTTCACACACATTTCTAGGATTTCAAAGTGCTGGGTGTCAGTCAGGCGGCAAGGTGCTGGCACCTCACACAATCTGTTTGGCATCCCTGCAAAGAGACCTCTCACTCAGACGCAAAGCAGCTCCGCAGCTCCTCCTTTAAACAGCTCCCCGGCTGCTCTGCTGGCTCTCGCACCATTCGCGCTGTCTTCTCTGCATCTTTCCCCTTTTCCTTTGGTGGAGTCGGACTCATCCAGAGGAAACATTCCTGTTTACCCTCAACTTTCTCAAGATGTTTGTCCACTTTTTTTTTTTTTTTTCTGCTCATGCCAAAACTGTGTTTGGTTCAGCCTGATTCGTGGCTGTTCTTCTTACGTTGATTCTTTGTATATTTGAAACAACAAAAGAATAAAGAGCCGAAGCTGAACACTTGTCTTTTCTGCTTCTGTTGAATCCTTTTATACATATAAAACTACTGTAGTTGTTTTGCTCACACATTTGAAAATGAGTTTGTATTCTGCTTTTATCACAACAGCAGGATAGTTGTTAGTGATGGGACGAGCAGAGCCGTCGGAGCGTGTCGAGAAATCCGGACGGTCTTTGATGAACCGCCCTTTGAGGCTTTCTGCTTTATGGGCGAGTGATGTGAGTGACGACTTTGAGCCAGTAAAGTATTAATTCAATTCAATTCAATTTTATTTATATAGC